CCCAGCTGCCCCCCCCGGCACGGTTTGGAGGCGAGGGGCGGCTAGGACGTGGCTGTCCCCGGGGCTGCTGGCATCCTCTGGAGATCAGGGCACTGCGACAAGCAGCCCGCAGGGATTTGTTCCCGAGCTCACGCCTGTCGGCATGGGGACCCTCGTGGGATGCAGGCGAAGGCTGCTGAGAAACACCCTTGGCAGACCGGGCACCGATGCAGTGGCTTCTGCCAGGGCCCCCAGCCCCGGGGACACCCGCTGGCTCTCAGTGCCGCAGGGAGCACTGCCTGCTCCCGGTGAACCCGGCCTGTGTCCCTTAGGGCTTCTTCCTCGGAGCCGTTTCCCACAGACTTGAGTGCTCCCAGAGCTGATGCCGGGTGGAGGGGTAGAAACAAGGGTGACTATTAGTGTAGTGACAGTGTTGGTGGCAGCCTGTGGATGACAGCACAGTGGGTTCATCTGCATGTGTGAGAGCAATCCCTGCGAGACTGCACGTTGGGCCGCCAGAAGGTTTCGAGGTGAACAGCTTCTGAACGGTGGGCTAGTTCACAGCTGCAAGCTGCCTGGGGACTCAGGAAGACATCGCTGCATCGGGTGCAGCCCCTTCGCCCTGGAAGGCTGAAGGATGCAGCCTTGCAAGAAGAGCTTGGCTGGCCTTTTTCGGGAGAGCCGTGGGCCTCTGCATCAGCAGTCTCCCTCCAGGAGCATCTCGATCCGGCAGCCTGGGGGAGGACGCTGGTCCCCGTGGGACAAGGTGATGCGGTGAAGTGCTGCCCCCGTTTCACTGCCACCTGCTACCAGTGTCACCCCAGATGCTTGCTGCCGTCGGCCAGGATCAGCGGCAGCTCGTGGTGCCGTGCTGGGGAGCGGTTACCTCGGCAGGGCCGGCCCGCTGGCCTGATCCGCCTCCGAGAGACCCACAGTGGGTTTTCTCTGCGCTGCCATTCATCTCCGAGACTTGATTACCCTTAATTCCCTGTAAACGGAGGCGAGTTTCACGGGGCTGCAGCTACAGAGATAATGGTCTTCCGCCTCGGCGTCCTGCCTCTGCCGGTCCCCGGCAAGGTGCTTCCTGTGCCAGCCTCGGCCGCAGGTGCCACCCGCGCGCCCTGCTCTCCGCAGCCACTTCTG